CGGTGAGGGTTTTATAAAATATAACCAAAGGTTAGGAATAGCCGCTAGGTTTTCTCAACTTCATGCAAACTGATTGATGGGAAAAAGTCACGATGAGCGGACAAAACTTGGATGTGAAGTGACTAAGTCTTCATAATGACCAAGAGCAAAGGTGGTTAAAGAGAAGGGGAAGATAGTGGTATTAGGTAATACGCAGCAGTTATTTGGTTTATTAGAGAAATTGGCGAGAAGACGATAATCAGTGAGGCTATGACCAGAAAGGATAGGTCTCTTGTAAGCTTCCAGAACAGGTGGTTCGAACTTTGGGAGGAACACTGACGAAAAGGTAAACTGGCCAACAGCCACCTTCCAGTTGCCCAGCATTCAACTCGAAGTTGAGTGTGATATGTCTCCCAGCCCTCCTCAAAGTTGAAGGGGTTATTTCAAACTTGAAAGGATGGAAAGCAAAAGGAAATAACTCTTCTCCAGCCTAATTTTCGGAGGACCAAGGTACAATGTTCCTAAATGGGGTAATCAAGATAATAACCAGTTTATGGGAATCAGAGATAGTTCAGCCAGACCGGTCAAGATAATTGATCATTCTATCATGCATAGAGAAAGAAGTCTGTGTAACAACCCCATAAGGTTCAGTTTTACTTACCTCGCGTTCACAATCATAGGGTGCAGATATACGATACCTAAATGGAGCTCACGAAAAACAAACTCGACAAAATCAGGAAGGCCTCAGACCTAGATAATGGTGCATCTATCAAACCATAACCGTTCGACAGGTTCTGAAACACAGACCTGCCGGTACACGATACTGGATATATCTTCTGTCTTGATGGTGGCATTCGACTCTGTTGACCATGAAGCATTATGGTAGTGTCTGACAGTGAATAGTACGTAGTAATTGATACTAGTCGAAGTTTTTTACTCGAATTCACATAGCTATAGGCTTATCATCTAAAGTAACAAAGTTCGTTCACTATCATCATTACTATTCAACTTTTTCATAGACATATTGATGGACATTATCCGAAGGCCCGTTTGGCATTTACCAACTTGTGTTATCTGTGGCGCCGACCGGTGAGATATCCAACTACCAACTAAAAGGTGCGTACACTTCACTACAGCCCGTCCTATCCTGTTGTACCACTGTGATACATGGCAGTTAAAAGTGGATATGAAGCCTTTACTGGATTTTGATGTCTCCCTAGCATTGCTCACGTTTGGTGGAATAACCATGTAGGTAATGTTGAGGTTAGGTTAAGGATACTAGTGAAGACAAGCAAGTCGATGGAGGTTGTGAACTTCAGTAGACTAAGGTGGCTGGGAAATGTGCTGCGCATACCGAGCCACCATCTATCGCGACATGCCATGCTGGGGGAAGCTGGAAAGAAAATTTAGGATAGCCAAACTAAAACCTGGCACCAACGCCCTAGGGTCTATGACTGTCGGTTTGAGCGGTGTTGGGAGATGTCGACTACCTGGTTCCTCAAAACGACAAGAACCAGTGGTTGAGGCCTCTTCGTGACATGACTGAAAATCGGTCACAATGGCCCACATGTATTCACTCTTTGATATCTTCTAAAGCTTGGATATTCAAACTAAACTTTGTCTTCAAGCTGTTTATTCTCTCACACAACTTCGTCTACTTTTATTTTTTTCCCACCCGTTCTTTGCATACTAGTGTGAAGTGTTGCAACTTGAACCGATCGACTTGCGGGGGATGTTATACGCTGACTCTACGTCTTTCTATCTCCATCCACCCATCCAAATCAACATAGGATCAAGCATTACTGCGTAACGGTCCGAGTTGTCACACCTCAAACCAGTACATCAAGTAAAAAGGCAGTGAAGTGGAATGTGAACGAAAGAGAATTCAGTCGGAAGAAATATAAAGTACTAAAAGAGAAAAAATGAGAAAACGGTGAGATTCGCTATAGCGTCGTTAAGATGAGGATAATGTGTGTATACATCTGAGCCATATCATGTAGAGTCTCCAACCACTGGTTTCCCTTGTCCCACGGACCCCAACCACCTGGTCTGCATCGCCCTACATGGCTCAAACCAACAGTTAAAGACTTTATACATTGGTGCTATGTTTTAGTCTGGCCGGCTCGAGCCTTTTTCCAGTCTAAACCTACTTCGGCTAACATTATGTGAAGAGGTAGACGACGACTAGGCATACACAACATATGCCCCAACCATCCCAGTCGATGAAGGTTCACAACCGTGTCAACTGACTTACCTCTTCTCCCTAAAACTTTACACCTGACTTCTGCGTTACGTGGTGACACCACGGAATATGGCCTATACTAGGAAGGCAACGGTGGTCAAACACCTGAAGCCTCATATCTTTCACCTTCTATGGCCATGCATCACAGCCATACAGTAGAACAGACCGGGCTGCTGTGCAGTACACGTGACCCTTAATAGAAAATCAGATATCACAGCGGCGCCACAGGTGGCGTAAGTTGGCAAAAGCCAGTCGAGCCTTTTGTATTCATGCAGAGATTTCATTGGCCACTGAGCCACTAGGACAGGACTGGTCCTACTTCCCAGGTAAGTGAAGTGGTCAATACACTCAACCACTACACTATTGTTAGACGAGGCATTGTTGAAGACCAATCCTGGAGCAATAATCTGCATTTGGGTGGTGAGAAACGCATCCCAAACATTCTCAAATTGCCACTCAGTGTGCAGAAAACTTTGCGTCTTGTCAGCATGTTCCAATAACAGAACTTTCATCTGCGTATTCTAGGTCCAACGAAAATTCTCCCGCGATTAGGTTAACCTCTGTGTAGTCAGGTGACGAGAGAGACCATAGGAATATCTATGATAAAACTGAATAGGAATGGAGATATCTTTCTACCTGAAGTATCATTTTAGGTCAACTTGAGATTGTTCTAGTAAGTAACCGTATTTGGATGTCAATGGATTAAAGTAATTGGAGGCTATTTATTTCGTTAATAGTTCAGAAGTTGTCATTTGTCATAGAAGCAGGTCGAAATTATTCGCGCTCCCGATTGACAGCAAGTTAAGAAATCATCGTGTTCCTTTATAACTGCTTTATGGTAGCGGTGTTGTATAATAAACCGTAAGGAATGGTCTTCACATAATTGAGTTGGCAACTTCACTGCATCGCGGACATTCTAGCCATGTGGATCCCGTGGAATAATTAAACTACAGTACTTGGCGGGCCCAGTTGGGCTGAGTTCACGAAGCCACCGGTGCGTTTTCCAAGCATCAGAGAGGTAGATCAACGTGGAACCCGACACAAGTGCATCGGCTGAAGTTGATACACTTTACAGCAGCATGTGAGGAGTGAGTGATACTATGGTAGATTAATGTTTACGAGCTTAGTGAATGGCATTCAAGACTTCGAAAATGGGTGAATATATCTGCAGCACTGTGGTCAATACTGAGTTAGTCTCCAATTATTAGGTCCTCTTGTCTTGAGGACACCAGCCAGGCAGCCACGCCTCCCAAACGAAGTAGACCAACAGTCGAAGGTCTCATAGACTGGCGACGCCTTGGTCTGGCAACCCTTAGCCTTCCAAACCAACCCGCATTATGGCTAACACCACATATCAGGGTAGACTCTGGTTCAGCATGCGCAGCACATTTTCAAGCCATGATAGTCGATGTTTTTTAACTTCATCAACAGGCTTACCAGAGCTGAAAATAGGGTATGGTTCTGGGCACTTTGCTGTTTCATGACAATAAGTAAAACTCAAAAGCTTAGTCCTACCTTGCCAACTCCTGTTTCTAAGCCCTTCTAGTTAATCCGAATTTCTGAAACTGACAACTTTTGACCAATATCATGATTTTAACTCCTTAATCACCGTTACAGTCTCCATTCTACTCCAAATACGCGTAAACCTTAGAAAACCAAAGTATTATCCATATACAAGGAACAATAAAAACTAACTCTAGCCTGCAAGAGAACAATCCTACCGCATCTGACTGGTCATTTGATCCGCAGGATCGTCCGACTCTGTTGTGCAAGGAAAAGTAGCCAGTAGCCAGATTTACTTCGAAAATAAGTTTTACATCCAAAACACCGGTGTTAGAAGAGGACTGTCCAATAACGATATTGTCAGCGAAAATGGAAAAGCCATGCTAACCCTGAAATGCCCAATTAGAAGTAAGCTGTTTGCTTAATTTCGGCAGGTGAAAGCTTTCAAAGTTCATGGATAACATATTACGCACAAGTGTTGAAATGTATACATGAAAAGTGAGGACCTCTAATGAATATGACCATATAGCCATGGATATTCATCACCAGTCGAAATGAAATTGAATTCAGTGACAGGTCTAGAGGTCAGAGTGGAATAAGTGGGACTTAACTTCCACAGATTGCAAATTTAAAAATGAGTCATAAAGCGCCTGTGCTGAAAAGAGGACCTATCCCTTGACTTCTCACTGCTTTGAACATAATGGGGATTACCATAAACAAAATCCCTGAGTCCAAGGGGTAACAGGAAGAACCATGGTTTAGAACTTGGCCGGGTACTCTGATACCTAGTGGTAACAACATGAACCCCTTGACCGTGTAAAATATCACAAAATTAGTGGGATTGGTGTAATATGGCCCCATGAACATTGACCTCATCTAATTTAACCAAACTTTGTTGAATAATAACACAACCTAAATGACTTTTTGGTGCCGATAGTCGATTACCAAGAAAGGAGCAAGAAATAAACGATGGACCACTTGCCATTTCAACATTACCGAGTTTGGTAGCAGAAACACAATTCAGTATAATTGCAACAAAACTACACAGTAATTTACTTATTCAAGTCAAGAAAGCTGCCACAACCGTCTCTATATGCAGTAACAAATCCCTACGAAAGGCTGATTCATGCCACGTCATTCAACAAGCTAGAAAATAAGTCTTAGATAAGCAATAAAATAAATGCTCTCAAAGTTCTCTGACAAGTTCCTTATATAAAAAGCTAAGTATCCCAAACCTGAACATTGCTACGGATAAAAAACCCTAGGCAATTCTCACCTTCATACTGTTACACGGTGTTCATTAGGATCTATCATCGTTTAGTCGGCGGAAGTAACAATCAAACATTTACGTCCCAACCACAATTGATAGCCCCAAACAGAGCGCTGCTGCGTTCAATGAGCACTTTAACAAAGATTCCGGTTTACAGCTTGAAGATAGTAGGCTATGAGCCTTTAATAATCCTTCTAAAATAGACCTCTGTGTTATTCCAGTCCTATTCTTAGAGATTTCAGTAATGACGTAGGCAGTACTTCTTCTGCGGGTCTGTGTCAGCAGTTCCAATATTCCAATATTGATAGTGCGAGCGTAGAAAACTGGTAGTTTTTGATCTCTCGCGTCTAGTTCTTAGGGCTTGGTTCCAGTTGTTCGGTTTACTCCTGCAGTGGACGAGGAAATCCCCTCTGCTTTCTTGCTTTTAGCTTCGGTGAGGTGGATGTTTTGTGGGTTAGTAGGTTGTAATTTGTAGAGTGATTAGGGAGCTACGGGTTGCTGGGAAGTTTAGAGAACTGCCATGACTCCTGTCTGTGTAGGTACCTGAAGAGAATAGTAAGGTAGTGGTAAAGGAATGAAGAGAGAATAAAGAAGAGAGTGAAGTAGCACCATAGAGACTCTGGGAGCTGGGTTAAGGCCGTATCGCTAACCATCCTTGCCTTTAAACAGGAGTTTACGTAGATAGCCACTCCCCCTCCTGCTCTATGTTCCCTGTCCCTGCGGAAGAGTTCCATGCCAGCAACACGCATCTCTTCGTCGGAGATGTCCGATGAGAGCCAGGATTCGGTGATGAATATGATGTCGGAGTGCTGATGTTCACGCAGCGTCCTCATTTTGCTACCTTCCCTCTTAGCCCCCTAACGTTGCTGTACATACATATTAGAGTGTGCCTGATGAGAGGGGAGGTCTGGATGTGTATTTTCGCGGGATGAGCGCTTACGTGGTTGATTTAGCCTCGCCAGTCCTCATAGGACTGGCATTGTTCCGTTTTTTTGTGTTTTGTTCTTAACTTGGGTGGGGGCTGTAGCAGTGGTGGCTTCTTTACTTGATGTATCTAACTCACTGGTCAGCGCCTGTGTGACGACCACTGACTCCAGAGGTCTTGGTGGTTGCCGTCTCTCCTCTTGCCTTGTGGGTCTAGGCTTACTTTCACATATACGTATTGAGCCACCCATGCGATCTTTCGCATTATACCATGCGTGCAGAACGTCTGTGAGGGAGGCATATGAGTCGAACTGGACGGCAAGTAGTCTGGGATTGGGTATGGTCTTCAGGTGCGCTGGCCTTGGCAGTCTACTGACGCTGTTGGCCGGTATACTGTTGAGACCAACTTTGGTTGAGAGCCATTGCCATTGTTGGACGTCGTGAAAGTACCGATCTTTGACCGAGCTGTCACTTGGCAATTCTGGAATCCCATGTACAACTATAGTGTTGTTTCTGTTGGGATTTCCAACCGCTGACTTTCTCTCCTCCTCTCTTATGACCATGGCTTGTCAGGCCTGGCCCGAATTTTACAGGCATTAACAACGTCCGGTTGTCGCGAGAGGAGGAGTGTGTCTTCAGCCTCTTTGGCGGTATTTAGGGACACACGTAAAGGGGGTGGCTTATCTCGGGGTGCATGGCTTCCTCGAGAAAGGCGACATAAAGTTGCAGGGAGGGGAGGGAGTCCCAGCATCTGACAGTAGTCGGTCCACATTCGGCTGTCAAATTGTTCCCTCTCGACCAACAATGAGTCTGTCGATACATCGACGTTGAACAAAATGATCGAGTTGGTCCTCCTGTGACCTGGGTTCGTTGTGGGTGGCACGCCCGACTTCCCAATGGGTTTGAGTAATTCCACTGGTTGTTTCTCAGTCACGGTGTGTGGGGTGTTCGGAATGGGTTTCGTAGAGGCTTCGGCGGTCGATGTCTTTGGCCATGCGCTTGACGTCCCCTGGGGCCGGGTAGGGGGTATGGAGACTTGACCTAATATGGTCCCCACGCGAGGTGGCGTGCCCACAGCTGGAGCTCTAGGTCTGTTTCCAGGTCTCTCTGTGTTATCCTTTGGTGTTAACCCTACTTTATTCGAGGATGCTGGTAGCTTTTGCGTGGCGGAGAGCATCTCCTTCAGGCTTTCTGTGCGGAGTGCGGGCATTTTCCTGCACTCTGGACAGATGTACCAGAACCACTTGCATGGTTGTCTCTTCATCAGCTTATAGTATTGTCGGGGGACTTTGGTATCGCAGTGGCAATGCGCCCATCGTTGACACAGGTTGCATGCAAATGCCTCATCGACTACCGAAACAACTTTGGTGCAAACACTGCAGCCATCGGGTGTCGTAATACAGCCTTCCTTCCATGAATAAGGTGCTACGGATTGTGGCGAACTGCTTGTGGCTGCCTTGTTCTGAAGCCTTTTACGTCGTCTTCTATTTCAGGCATGGTATGATCCTTGCTCAAGATAGGACTAGTTTGTGACGGGCTAGTGCTTCTCTGTGTCACCTGTCTGATGGCGACTGGAATTCTAGAAACATGGGTTGGCCACTTCTTCAGAAGTTCGGTGTTCTGCCCTACCTCTGTTTGTCTTCTAGTACAGACTAGTGTGTTGTTTAGGGTGTTACTGGCCGTTGTTGTGCACGACCGCGTTATCCGTGTCAAAGCTTCAGACCTAGCGTTTTGGGCAGACATGTCGCTATGATATAAACTTCTTGGGAAAACAAGTAGTTAACAACAATAAGAGGGTTGAAGACTGAATGCAGCAAAAGGACAGAATAGAAAAGGGAAGATAATTTATGTTGGCTCACCTTCAGACACTTGTCACTTGATCCTCTGCTCTTGACCAACGAGTTTAACCGTAAGCTCCAGATGCGTATGTATAACCAGGAAAGATATTTCCTGGGGAATGACCTCCGAGGAGAACCGAGAGCTAAGGCAGTTTGGCAGTTGAAACGCCCAAGAACCACTGACAGGAGGTAGACCGGTTGGTTCAAAGGAATAATAATGCCAATTTTCAACTGTTGAGGAGTGAGCTGACGAATGCGCAGGGGTGAGGTGCGTGGACGGACAGAAGTGCTGCAAACGTTCGATATTTTTAGATTGAGTATTGCAAGTGGGAGTTTTTCATTGTGGAAAAATCCAAAAGCTGAGAAACGAGCGAAACACGTCACTATTCAGGGAGCAGTTGATTATTCAGCGAGAAGGCCAGTGCACTATGGAGAGGATTTTTGTCTTTTGCTTTTGTACTCTCCTGTTGTACCTTTTGAGATATTCTGAAATAATTGGAAAGAAATTTTGGCACAGGCTAGGTCCAAATTCATTCCTTAAAATCTTGTACGGCACGGTTAGAACTCCACCTCTGTTTGCTATACGATAAAAGTAAAGGCTTTAGACCCTGCATTCCTTCTGCACTGGTACCACTTGAGTGAACGCCCTCCGAACTCCTTCCAGAAAGTCAAATCCACCCTTCAGATCTGGATTTGGGGCTCGTGAACAGTTTTTTAGTTGAGAACTAACGAAGGATGTGCACAAGTTGTCAAGTTCAGTCTTAAGGGTGCATACATCATCATTCCTAATTTCTTGCCTGGTTTTACATCATCCGAGTAGAGAACCATGTGGGATTTCCCCAAATTCGGCATTTCATTGATGTTTGGGAGAAATACCAGAGGACCCCTGCGTCATTCCACTCTCTACTGACTTTCAAGAGGACAGCTGAAAATCGATCCTTACTCTTTGTCTCCTATCTGCAAGGAACTCTGGCGCATGCAAGTAGAATACAAGCGGTTCCGAAACTTCTTAGTTTCAGAATCATAGGAATACCTTCAGTAATTGTTCTTCCAGAGTAAAATATTGATGTTGAGTTCACTAAGTGAAATACGATATTGAGTTCACAATGATACTGTACTCATTAGGACACTTTAAACCAATACTATAACGATCGTTCAATCTTAAACGAATATATGGAAGGACAAAAACTGGTCTCTGACTGCAAGGACTACCTTGTTCGATGAAAATACGCATAAATATATGTAGTTCTTGCAAACAAAGGTGAGCTAGGTCAAAAACAAAACAACTTTTTCTGATTGGCTTCATGAAGCACGAAAGTGTCAAACAAGGTTTATCCTGTATGTATAGCAGCACAGATAAATCTCTGAAGCTCCTATCTCATTCGTCAATGACATTCAATGTTGATTTTTTTTCTTAGATGTTTTTCTGTCAGACACCCCTGAGCGGTTGGTGCTTTGAAGAGTACGTCACAGATAGGTACTAGGTAGAAGTCTGGACTGAAGTTAATAGGCTTCACCTGGTTTCATGTTTTCAACGATAGAAACGTTTGTGTAGCGTGTGGCACCACATAAATTCGGTTACAGAAATCATATATTGATATTACAGACATGGAATGATACCTACAAACGAAATGAATAATGTCGTGATTCCGGGCTATGCGTAGAAATTGTGGGACCTAATCAGCTGATTTCAACTATTCACACCAACTTGAAAACAGCTATCCCGAAGACAGTTAGAAGATGGTCATAGCATCGAAAGTCATCAGGTTTTCGCACTAATTTCAAAAACCCGTTCGAGTTATGATGTCACTTAGTTCACTACGGTCACTAAGAATTGATTTGAGCCAATGAAGTAAAAGATCGTGGATACCAATTGGTTGTAGCTTACCAGAGAGAATTCTGTGTGGTACCCTGTCAAACACCCTTGACATGTCTAAGTATATAACAGTGACAATTTTGCTTGCCTCGCGGCTGCTTGTGATAAGGTTTGAGAAATCTAATTGGCAAGTAATGCAAGACCCGTTTTTAATGAAACCGTGCTGAGACTTTGTGATGAGGTTTTCTCTAAGAAGTTAGACAGACATGCTACTCTTAATCACTTTTTCCATAATTCGGGGGACGACTGGCGTTATGTTGATAGGTCTGTAGTTACTAGCATTCACTTTGTCATCAGACTTGTAGCAAGAAATTAGGAAGCTAGTTTTCCACTCGCTGGTATACTCCCCACTTTCCATTGGTAGTATGAATATCTTAAGCAACAACAGCGGCATATCATCGCCGTTTCTGATGACTACTGAGTTTAGGCCATCTATCCCCTTACCTGTCGATAGTCTCAGGCTTTTGTTAGCCTCAGTGATACTTTTGACAGTGAACTGCA